TCCCACTCGGGTTATTTTTATGGGGAGACATGAGACTACGATGGCTGAGTGGTGGAGACCAGTTTGGGTACAAGAAGGAGAGAAGGGAAGGGAAACAACAGGTAAGTTACATAATTCTGTGGCACAGTCAAGAGTAAAGTCAATCAGGATCCCAGCTCTGCCCAGCAGCCAGGGACTGGAGGACTGTCTTCTAGAAAGTGGAGGCGACACATAGTACCAACCCCTCTACACTCTAGGGCAGAACAAAGGAAGATTATCTCAGGTTTGGAATCAAGTGAAGAAGGTTAAACACTTTTTAAATTAAAATTAATTTTATTTTCATAAAAAATAGTGATATTCACTTTGGGGAATTGGTACATCTACATCATACATTCAGGCTCTGTAATAACCCTTGTTTGGTGACAAATGATGGTCCTCCAGAGATCTTTATATGGTTAGGTCAAAAAGCAGAACAGGAAGAGGCAACATGGACCATATAAGAACATCCCATGAAAAGTGAAGGTACTACCACCCGGGAGACTCGGGGAAAAAGACTCCAAGAAACAAGAGATTTCCATAAACTATGTGCAAGTTAAGTTGTTCTTAATAAAACCAAGGGGCAGGAGAGAATTTTGAAACAAGGCCTCAGTAAGGTAGAGAGAGCCGTGTGCAGAACTACCAAGACCACATCTGCAATTAAAAAGGGGAATAAGATTAGATCCCAGAAACAACCCAAATATCTATCAAGATCAGAAGGAGTAAATAAACTGAGGTATAAGTATACAAGGAAACATGGTATTAATGAAAATGAATTAATTTCAGTTAGAGGTGAATTTAAGATTAAATAGCATTACAGTATTATTCTATAAATAGCACTAAGAAAAACTCTGCTTAAAAAATTATAATCGGGGCTGGGGATTTAGCTCAGCAGCAAAAGTGCCTGCCTGGCAAGCACAAGGTCGTGAGTTCGGTTCCCGGTACCAAAGAAAAAAAAAAAAATTATAATCCTTATGCCTAGAAAATCCCACATGACACTGCTAATATGTTACGTGTATTTATAAACTGTCTGGATAAATTGTAAGCTCCTTGGAGACAGGCAATGAATATTACACTTAATCAACTTTCCTCCTGGAAAGCATTTGGGTATGTACTCCCTGAATAAATGAATGGTGACATGGTTTGAATGTAGTTTGTTCACCAACTATCCACGGGTTGGAGGCTTTGTTTCCCAGTGTGACAAAAGGGGACATGATGGGACCTTTAAGAGTGGTACCCACTGAAAAGTAGTTAAGGCCTCAAGTTCAACCCTGGCTCCTCCCACTCTGGTTCTGACTTCCATCTCACCACTCCATCCCTTCCCTCTCCTAAATGCTTCTACCACTGTGATTCCACCCACCATGAGGTCCTCACTAGAACTCAATGGATACCAGTGCTATAGCCTTGAAACAGCCAACACTGTGAGCTAAATAACCTCCTTTCTTTATAAAGAACCAAGCCTCCAGTATTTCATTACAGTAACAGAAAGTGAACTGATATAAGTAGGAATGAATGATTAGGAATGAATGTTGTGGAGTCTGTTTGGCTGGGTGACTTCTAAGTAAAATCTGGCCAACTTTATATGGTTTTGCATTATTTCTTCCTAAGTTTTGTGTAAAGAAAAACATAGAAACTTCCCAGGAGTTAAGTGTAGCTAGAGATGTGGTGAGTGATTTCATACCGGTGCTGTTATGGTTTATACCTAAAATATTCTCCAAAAGTTTCCTGTGTGTGAAAGCCGATTGGACCGTGGGGGCCTGATACTCATGGTTCAGAGCTGAGTGTGCTGTTAGGAGGTGGGGCCTGGTGGGAGGTGGTCACTGGAGGTGTGATCTGGAACATATTCTTGACTCTGGGTCTGGCTCTCTGTTTCTCTGTCTCTGTGGGGTGGGTTTTGGCTCATGTTTATTTGACTCTCTGTGTCTCTCTGCCTGTCTCTCTGTTTCTGTCTCTCTCTGTGTGCCTCTGTGTGTGTGTGTGTGTGTGTGTGTGTGTGTGTGTGTGTGTGTGTGTGTCTCCTGACCCTCCCACCAAGCCCTTCCACCACACTGTTCCTGGCTTGGAACCAGCTGACCATGGACTGAAAACACAAAACCATAAGCCTAATTAAACCACTCCTTTTTCAACTTGTTGGTGCCTTGTATGCTGTCCCTTGGATATGAAAGCTGACTAATGCAGATACTCCAGGGCAATCACTCATCAACTCGGTGTCTTTGGCCCATAAATCAAATGAAAGAGACACTGGAGACACGGCATCAGTGGTGATAAATACTAAATAGGTAGAGAAGCTGTCCCTGTGGCCATTACAGGCAGGAGGCTGCAGCTGCTCTAGTGTGGGGAGGTGGAGAGTAGAAGGGCTGGTAGTCAGAAAACACCTGTGCTCAAAGTAACCAGACCACATGGGATGCTGCAGTGCCCAGCAGTGTCCAACACATTGGTGGTGCACCACCACCATCCTCAGAGAACAAATGAGTGGCCCAAGCAGCAGAATTTCAGTACCAGCTTGACCTAAGGCAGCCCAAGAGAAGAGCAAGCAGGCAATGCTTGGAAACTTAGGCTTCCCCAAGGTCCGATCTGCAGTCTGAACCAATTCGGACCCGTTAGTGTCCAGACCCTGCCTGCCTGCTCTAAACCCAGAGCACATCTGCACTGTCCTGCCCAGAGCCCCAAGATGCTCATAATAAAGCAAGAGGAGTCGTAACTCAGCATTCACCTTGGCAAAAAAAATAAGTAAATAAGGAGAACGAATCTTCCATCAGAAAATAGATGGCCCTTCTCCAGGCTGAGAGCCTGGATTACCCTCCTGAAGGACAAACACCTCACCCTCACCAGCCAGGCCCCTGGCCATGTGTGCTGGCCTCCTCTCAGTCAGAAACCCCAAATGGGGCATGAAGGGCCATTGGAATTCCTGCCAACCTCTTTCCCTGCGTCTCAGACCTGCTCAAGCTGCCTGTGCCCGGTTGGAACAGCGAGCCTGTGGGTTCTGCTGCTTGCCCAAGAATGTAAGGGGTAGCTGAGCCACAAGCCCCTATGCTGGACGGGAGGATCCAGCAAGCGATCCTGTTAAAAAGCACAGCCAGTGATGGCCCCCAACAGCAGCCCTGGCAGAGGCTAGATTAGCAGCAAGAATCATCTCTACGTCACTCAGGGCAGAGCTGAGAAGAAAGAGCGGCCACACAGAAAGCCACGTATTATTCCCAAACTTCATCTGGTTAGTAGTCATAGCCTCTTCAAGGCTCATCCAAAATGTACAGGTGGCCCTGCCCAGTTGTCATGGCCAGGGCCACTCACGTGTGCCGCATAGGAGTCTCTCAGTCCCTGCTGGTCATGAGTGGCCGAGCCTGGGGGACCAGCTCAAATAAACATGAGCCAAAACCCACCCCACATCCATCCACACTCAGTCGCCATTCCCAACAGAGAGTCCCAAGGGGGCAGAAAGCCTGGGCTTCTCATGACCGCCAGGCAGACCTGCTGTATTGTGAATGTCTGTGACCTCCGCTTCCTACATGGAAACGTGATCGCCAGTGTGATGGTATTAGGAGGTGGGGCATCTGGGGAGGTGGTTAGGAGGGCAGAGCCCCCATGAAGGGGATTGGTAGAGGCCCAAAGGAGCTCATTCATCTCTACCTACGAGGACCTAGTGCCATCTGTGACCCAGGACCCAGGCCCTCACCAGATGCCAACTACCAGTACTTTGGTACCAGCTTCCTAAATTATGGACAATAAATACCTGCTTGTAAGCCAACCAGTGTATTGTTCTAACAGCCGGAATGGACCAAGACATCACCCAAGCACAACCCTACCCTGCTCTGTGGTCACCAGGAGGGGTTCCCTTTGGAGGACGGCAGGACTCTTCTTCCTGCTTCTGTGACCTGCATCTGTCTGCACATCCTTTGGGCAGGAGATATGAGAGTCCCACCCTCCTCTCAGGCCAGCAGGTCTCTGTCCAGCCTGGACCTGCCCACCTGGATTGCCCGCTTCTAACATCTCCTGGCCTCTCTTGGGACCCTACTCCGAGCACTGAAATAAGCAAGCAAACAAAATAGACAAGGGAAAGGAAGGCCATTCTCAGCTCTCCTCTAAACAGTCCTCACCTCTCGCCCAGTGGCCAGCAAGTCTGACTTCCCCGAGCCAGAGATGCCCTTGTGAGACATCATGCCCATCCCCGGGCACATACCAAGCACAATGGTTTGGACCATGACACTTTAAAAACAAGTACGAGAGACATCTGGAGTAATTTTGACCTCACTACATTAGAAGCATTTTTAAACATGTTGTAAAATAGCATTGCAAAGAACACACCATTAACACACACTAGGGAAATTGATTTTAGTTTGGCCTCAGTAAAAGTATCTGTAAAGTCAACCTCATTTTCCTTCTCCTTTTTTTTTTTTTTTAATCAGAGGATTGGTTTATCCGGGATAAATGGGACACTATCCTTGGATGAATTTGCTCAGCATGTTCCCAGATTTATTCCCTTCCCTAACCCTCGTCCTAAACACCCAGGCTGTACTGGGTTATGAAGAAACAGAGGTAATTAAAATAACTGTTGCCCATTTCCACCTGGAACTGCTTCCCAACAATTCCAAGCTGGGCAGTGTTCAAAGCACCATGGCCCCAAGTCAAGAGACAGCCACTAGCAGCAGTCAGCCCTCCCCCACAGCTGGGCTCCATCGTAAATGATTACAGAAACTGGGTGATTGCATTGGCGATAAAGATTCCTCATGGTGGAAAATACATCTGAAGGCAGGTGAAGGCTATCCCCCAATCAGTATCAAGGAAACCAAAATATTGGCCATTGACTCTCAAGCAACAAGGTCCACCCTATACAAAGAAGTCATTTAGGGAAACTTGTCTCTAAACGTTTTCCCATTGTATGTACCATGGTGAGAGTTGGTTGCAACTGCTGCTTTCCCTCGGGTCCCCAACAGCCATGAAATGCTTCCCTCCGGTGGCCAAGCTCCCAACAAGGGTGGATTCCTTACCATCGAGCTCCTCCACGGAGATGTTGGCCAGCTGCTCGCTGTCACTGCCAGCCGAGAGAGAGCGGTTGAGGTAATTCCCCTTGTACAGCAGGCCCGCAGTCACGTGGTGGAACGGCATCTTCTCCCTGCTCATGAGACAATGGGGGAGAGGGGAGAGAAAGACATCATCATTCATTCCTTCTTCCTTCCCTTCCTTAAAGGACCATACTGGTTTTCAGATGGCCCGTGTTCCTTTTTAAGTAACAGTAACAGTGGTAAAGGGAAAGGCAGAATATTCCCTGGATCCCACTGGCCTGAGCAGGTCCCAAGGATCTTAGGTTCTACCTTTCCTTCATTTGACATTTTCCCCATTGAATTACAAATCTGAACCACAATGTCCTTGTCAACCACAGTACACCATGTCATTGTCAAACTGCATTTTCATACAAATGAGAATACCCTCTGCTGCTTTCCTTGCCCTGAATAATTTCCACATTCTATACCTGTAAAGAAGGACTGAGCACCCCAGAAAGGATGCAAGGCCCAGGATGGTCATCTTGGCTGTGATTGCCCAGGGAACCAAGCATCTCACTTTTTCTCCCCCACAAAAACCAAATGCTTCCTTTGCACAGCCTTCAAAGCAGGTAGGAAGAGCTCAGGCTCTTAGAAAACATGGGCAGCTGCAGGCTGGATTTCTAAGACACAGCTGTGAAGTCTGACTGAGACACAGATGCCACTTGCATGAGCTGCTGGGCGTGCACACAGACTGAAACGGCAATCACACCTGCCTGGCCTGCGGTGATGGGAGGGGGCACCTCAAGGTATCCCCAGAACCATGCAGCTCCAGCACTCCTGCAGGAAATCAAAGCAGCCCACACTAACACATCTGCAGGCAGAGCTCCCACACCTAGCTGGCCATCGGGAGGCTCAGAAGTTCCCCCAGCACAAAGCGAGCTGGAGGCCCTAGGGTTAGGGTAAGGAAAGGGTGGTAAGAAAAATGGAGGAGCAGAAAGAGGAGAGGTGCAGGCCAGGTGGTCCTCTCTGCAGCAGGAGCACTGATCCTGACCCAACTTGTCCCGTAAAGCTCTGCATTACAGGGAACGAGTCACTGAGCACCCCAGGATCTCCTTCCGCATCTGGAAGAGGGACTAAGAGGCTTCCTGAATACCACGGCAGAATGAAGGCCAACAGGCCAGAAGCAAATGGAGTGGGTGATAGACAGTAGGTGAAGACGCCTTTTTTTCTGGAAGGGGAGGTGATCTCCCCACCACTGAGGATCCCCAAGCCGAGGCTGCAGGCCTGTAGGACAGAAATGCACCCTGAGCCTCTCCCCACCCCACACATCCGACACTCTGAGCAAGTCACCTGCAGAGTCTCTGGGCTCTAAAGTTGGCATCTAGGCGGGTGGCTGTGGTGACCCTCCTGAATGACAAGGTGTAAAAGTGCAGGAAAGACACACAAGAGAATGCTAAGTCTCTGAGGACAACTATCAGGGCACCTACACTTTGCGGTCCCTCAAAGACACTTGTTAGAAAACTCCAAATGAAGGTAACCTTTCCTGATCAAGGTGCAAAGCTGCTGGTTGGCACCAGGAACCAGGCTTTTGCTATCTTTCCCTGTGACACTGTTAAGTGACAAGTCCAGAAGGACGCCACCTCTTCTCTCTCCCATAAACCTAAGACACAGCAGCATGACCCTACTTGGGCTGAGAGCCGCTGACTTAGAGATCAACCAATGAAACAGCTAAATGTAGAAAGAGTTGATTAAAAGCACAATTATAATATTATAAACTGGGCATGGTGGTGCATGCCTGTAATCCTAGCACTCTGGAAGGGTGAGGCAGGAAGATTACAAATCTGAGTCCTGTCTGGGCAATTTAGCAGCATAGTGAGACACTGTTTAAAATTAAAAATAAAATGGGCTAGGGCTGCAGCCTGGGGCAAAGGCTCTGGGTTTAATTCCCAGTACCCTCCCATACCAGAAAAAAGAAAGAAGTTCTAGACCTCAAGCATTCCAAGTGCTATTTCACCTAAGCAGCCTCAGCTAAACACCAGACATTTCCACCCAAGTGTCAAACCCACATTTCAAACTCAGGATGTCTTAAAACGAATTAATCATCTTCCTACAAAATCAGGCTGCACTTCCTGATTTCTCTATTTCTATCAAAGGTGCTATTAGCTCATCATAACAACTAGGACAACTCTCACAAGTGCTCAGCGCCCCAAAAAGTGAAACAGATATACGACTGAGGCAAGAGCCAACTGTCAGCCTCAAAACCTCCCTCCACCCTTTCTGAAACTAATGAAATGTACATCCACAGGCCAATCCTGAGCCAGAGGATGCTAATCACAAAGGACGTGTGCCCTGGCCAGCCCAGCCCCAAAAGGGCTGTGTCTTCAGCTAATTATAAGCCAGAAGTCTCTAAATCCATCCTGATCCATAAGTAGAAAGGCAAGAATTTTTTTCTTGGGACAAACACTTCAATTGCTGCCCCCTTGTTTCTCCAAGTGAATTTTCAGACCAAACAGAATTAAAGGGGAGAACCCAACGAATGACTCAGGGTTGTGTAGAAACTATGCCCGATCTCTTGGGGCCAGGACTCATGGTCATTTGAGCATGGGCCGGTCCCTACACCCAGGGGATGAGCAGTCTATCCCAGCTATCTGTGTACTTTTCGCTTCATCCCCAGCACTGACGCCAGCACCCGATTCCCCACTAGCTGTTAACCACTGTTTAAGTCTCTGCACACTTGGGAAGCCACTCTGTGATCTCGGATTCTGTTATACCCAGAGCAAGCCTCACTAAGATCAGTTCAGTAGCTGAAAGCCTTCCTTTCCATCCCATCAGGACTCCCTCCAGGGTCTGAGCATTTTATAAATGTCTTCCCATTACCTCCTTTACTTGGGTATCTGAAGCTTTGGCTCCATCACACAAATTTTTACAGCCAAAGCAATAAAATTATATTCAAGTGAACGTATCCAATCCACATCCCAGGTCAGCCGCAGAATAAATGATGAGTGCCGTGCAGAGAAAAGCACTCACCACTGACTCCCACTTGCCATCCCAACATAATTTACTTCTGAAAAAAAGAGAGGCTTGCGAAATTAAGTACACATTCAGCTCATTCAGTGTCTGCACCCGAGAAGCTCAGTCTGGTGGGAAAGAAAACATGTGCAGTTGAACCATCCATATAGATAAATAAAGTCATGTTCAAGAAAGGCAAGAACAATATCCCAAGTAAATTCAAAGCAGCTGCTGCAATTAGGGCTAACTTTCACTCCAAGCAGTCTGGGGAAGCCCAAGCTTTAAAATTCTCTTCTTGGCTAAGAAGTGAAGTATACCAGTACATGAGCAAAGACAAACCTTGTCCTAAAACTGAAACTGAAAGATAGATCCTTGTATGCAGGGCAATGAATACTTGAAAGTAAGTATTTTCAAGGGCAATTTTAATTCATTGGGAAATGTTGTTTAAGCAACTGTCCATCAGATGAACAACATTTCGGTGTTTTAGGTACAGGCGGTGCTGTGGTCTGAAAATGTAAGTGTCTCCATCAAAATTCCTATGCCAGAACCGAAGGAACCCAATGTGATAGCAGTAAGAGATGAGGCCTTGGTTGGATATGGTGGTACAGCACCCTGGCAAGCTGAGGCAGGAAGATCAAAGTTGGAGCCCAGCCTGAACTACATCTCAAGACTCTGCTTCAAAACATAAAAAAGAAGTGAAATCAACTAATCACAAATGCTGGCGAGGCTGTGGAGAAATAGGAACCCTTCTCCACTGCTGGTGGGAATGCAGACTGGTGAAACCACTGTGGAAATCAGTTTGGAGATTCCTCCGAAAACTAGGTTTAGAGGTCCCATTCAACCCAGCTATCCCCCTGCTGGGTATTTTCCCAGAAGATCTAAAAACATCATTTCACAGTGATATATGTGCACCTATGTTCATAGCAGCACAACTTGTAATTGCTAAATTGTGGAAGCAACCCAAATGTCCATCACCGAGGATTGGATAAGAAAATTGTGGTACTTTTATAGAATGGAATATTACTCAACTGTAAAGAAAGATAAACTTGAGGCTTTTATAGGTAAATGGTCGCAACTAGAGACCATACTCATAAGTGAAATAAGTCAAACATACATGTGCAAGCACCGCATTGTTCATTAATGTAAAACCTGAAAGAGTTAATTTAAACTAGGAGGTATGATAGACACTGTGAAATGACAGGAAAACACTCAAGGGTAAAGGGCAACTGGGATGTGGGAAAAGAGAAGGGAAAGAAGGAGAAATTTTGTATGTATGTATATACAGGATAATTAACATAGTTGTTCTACTGTCTTCTATTTCTTTGCTGAAAGAAACTGTCAATGAGTCCTTGATTGATCAATATGGCATGTCTCTATCTGTTTCCATGAGAAACCACTTTGAAGATACCAATATGTAATACAACAAGCATTGTTCATTTCCTACCACTTTGTTTGTAACTCTGTACTGTCTGTGCTGTTCTTTTGCTATTTTGTAAAAGGTTGTCTGTCTGTTAATGTTTTCCTCCTTTTATTTTTAAAATTAAAAAAAGAAGTGAAGTTTTTAGGAAGTGATTAAATCATAGGGGAAAAGCTTTTATGAATGGGGTTAGTATCCCTACAAAAGGGTTCATGGGGACTAGCCTAGGCCCTCTTCCCTTCCACCTTCCATGATGTGAGGATGTGGAAATATGCCATCTCAGAAGCAGAGAACCATCCTCACCAAACACCAGATTCCCAACCTCTCTAACTATAAGCAATGAATTTCTGTTGTTTATAAATTACTCAGCCTAACTAATTTTGTTATAGCAGCAGAAATGGACTAAGATAGGCAAGACAATTTCATGGTGAACACTCAGAATCTTCTGCTCAAAACAAAACCAACAATTTTCCTGGGCCTTCAGCCTACTAACAACTGATCTACACCCACAGATTCTCAGATTCTACAACCACATAAGCCAATCCCTTATAATAAATCTGTTTGTGTACATGAAAACACACACACACTTCTTAGGAGAACCCACATTAACACACCTTCCATTTTACCTCTCTATACTGCCAAAGGCCCAAGCTTGTATGGTGGTATTAGCATTCTAGGCAAAGAGTGTTCTTCAGGGCCACTAAA